GAAAAAGACGGAGGATAGAAAGCAAACATGAAAAATAATGGAAAACCAAATGACAAATTATTAAAATGAATCAGAAAATAGCTGTGCTTAGCAGCATCCGGCATAAATCTCCCGATAAAATCGGAAATTAATATTTCCTGGAATTGAAAAAGTGCAAAAATACCATAGACATCTCAAAATCAAAACTTTCAATTAGGAAAAACCAAATCCAATAAGAACGATAAACTCCTGACAATCTTTTGGAGCATATAATACGAAATTTTATATCCAAACCATTTTTTAGTTTCTGCTTTAAAAAAATGCAACTTATATTTCACATGCGTACTCAGTCACAGTGCAACATTTTATTGTGAATAATAATCAAAATTATGAATTTTTCAAATAAAGAATTTTTAATTAACATAGCTTTTTGGGTAGAACAATAAGAATTTGAACTTTAAGATTTATAGTTTTACCGCAACAACAATAACAACAGCGATAATGATTACATGCAAATAACGAAAGAAGAATTCAGCCAACTGCATGCTAAATGCTCATAGCAGTAGTAACTCAGAACGACTTGACTTATAAATTATCAATTTTAATTTTCATCAAGTGAAACTGAGAAATTAGAGTAAAATCCTACCGTTACCATTCATAAAATCCATAAAGAGTTATCGGAATAGAATAAGGTGTCAAAATTCGCAAAATAACAGTAAATAATCTTTGCACAAGAATCAGAATAAGGAACAAGTGATATATAACTTATTTATAGATTCTACTTTGAGCACTAATTTCTTCTAAATGAAGACTCTTAAATCATGGTTTTCATTTTTTAATTTCCAAACATGTTCTGTCAACCGTTAAATATAATTATTTCAGAGCAACCATTGCTTTATCAGTAATTATCAGTTATATTCCAAAATATCCTTATCCCTTTTAATTTTTAAATAACAAGAAATTTTTATATTTTAGATTTTCAAAAAAAGGAACTTCATACATCTTCTGCTTCTTGAATACAAAATTCATCTTTATGAGATAATTGACTTATAAGGACTTATAAGAGCTATTTAATTGTTGCAGCTAATTTGTTGTGAAAAGAATTGCACGAAATTTTGTTAGATATGGGCTAATGTGCTACAGCATTCGTACTTTCTTTTTTCAAATTTTTTTTCATCCTCTTTCTCATGAATTTACTATCTTTGCCTGGTTTGAACTTATTAGATAAAAATTTTTTCTTGCAAACTCGCATCTTCAACATCTTGTTTGCATTACCTTCCGGTACGGTTCCATTCGCAGATTCCTGAAAATGCATCAACATACAGCTCAGAATCATCTTTTTTTTTTAAAAGAAAAAAGATGAAGTATAATCTAATGTGAAAAAGAAATGCAGCATTTCTAAATCGCATTATTTTTTAAAGCGAAAGAATTCCTTATAAATCAAAAATGAACAACTGCATTCCTCGATGCTCATGAAAGGAAAATATGCATACCATTGATATTTCGCTTTTTGATGCATCTATATCGGTTTCCATTTTTTCAACCAAAAACTTTTGCTGATGTTTCTAAAAAGTCCAGAAATCTTTCAGTATTAACATGTAAACACTGCATAATCTTCAATGTATCTTGAATTTGAAATATAAAAAGAAAACCTTTTGATCGTCTCCATGTGACACTGATTTCTCTGTCATTACAGGCTTTCCTAAAAATTAAACGAAAAATGAATAGACATCTATAATTGAATGGCAAAATAGGTATGTCACAGGTACCAAGAAGATATTTGAGCAACATTCTGATCACTTTGAAATTAAAGGTTGATGCAACTTGACAATGATTAAATGAATGTACAATTGCAGTTTAATCAAAATTCACTTTCAATATTATTTTTTAATATTCCTAAGGAAATGACAGTTGATATGTTTTTATGTTAGTAATTATGAAAAGGGAATTTTCTACATGCCAATGAAATATAAATGCTTCGAACTTTTTTTCAACTTTTCAGCATCAAATTTTTTATAATTTCCCACAAATTTTGATAGTAACTTCGAATCTCAATAAAAGTGAAGATATTTTAGAAAAACAATTCTTGTCACGCATGTTACGCATAACTATTTCAAAACATCTGACTTCGTTATACTTGCATGCTTCTATTATGCAAAATCTTATAAGATAAACGAAGTGAAAAACCACAATTAATTTGTGAAATATCACGAAAAAAGACCGACCTGCAATTCTAGCTCTATCTGAATTACCATTTTGGAATTTGCTTTTGAAAACACTAACATTTTTATTTTTCAGCTCACCGGATGAATTTGTGTTTTTCTGAAAATTAAAATCTTTTTGTATAAGATTTTAGGCACCGCTTAATTTCGACAAATCGCCAAATTTGGCTTAAATCACAGAATTCTTGGACACAAGAAAAGTGGGTAGAGTTCAGCAGAAAAATTAATGAAAATAGTATAATAAAAAATAATGAACTTCACATAAATCTGGAACTAAGTGGATCACTGAAAATAGGAAAATCCAAAAAAGTAGATGGATCTCAAAACCATTCCAAAAATAGTGTACTGTTGATGTATCAAAAAAAATTGTTTTATAATAGCTGAAGCTAATATATGGCATCGAAGTCTGAATAGTGGAAGAAAAACTGATCTTATCATTATAGCTACAATAACACGATTATTTAAAAAGCTATAACTTACTGTCTTTGAATTTGACAATTTCTTGAATTTTGCTACAAAGAACCCATCGATATTATGGATATGTGGATAATATCGCCGAGTGAGAGAAAGTGATGGATGAAAGCGATATTCCCGAAACCTGAAATTTGGTTGAAATTAAAAGAAAAACTATTGGAAACAGAAAAAAATCCACATGCAACACTTACTTCGTGAATCCTTCTATACCGATATCCAATCCCATTGGTACAAGTTTACAATCTCGTTTCCTCAATGCATAATGCACGACTGCTTCATTTTCTTCGACCTGAAACAGAGAAGGACCTCTGAAACAGTTTAATCCAACAATAAAACAATGATACTGTCATTTTAATAGAGTTATAGAGAGAAGGGAAAGCTGTGGATGCCGAAAGTAAAAATCATCCAAAATGTAGATAACAAGGATTGAAGCAGTCGAATAAAAGCGCGAAATACACTTACTAGAACAGAGCATGTCGAATAAACTAGATAACCACCAGTTTTTGAATTTGCATTAATGGAATCCAATGCAGCGAGTATCAATTGTCGCTGTAAAGTATGACATCGTTGAACATCCTGACTGTCACGTCGTGTTTTAACACTTCCGTCTTTCCAGATTACACCTGTTCCTGAGCATGGTGCATCCAACAAAACACGGTCAAAACCTTAAATGGAATATTTTATAAAATAAAAAATGAGTTTCTACTTAATGATGACCTTTAAAATTTAAGCTAGATCTACACCCTTGCAAATTTAAATTTGTCTTGTAGATCTAGATTACCTAGTTTTTCTATTATTTCTTGCAGTTATCACTATTCTCGTTAAATGGAAGCAAAAGACTTCGAGAAACCATTTTGACTTGAGAGCTACCATTAATAATGTCTATATGATTTCCAACGATTTTGATGAGACATGAAATAAGAAGTGAAACGTTTTTACAAACCTTGAGGCATAATTTTTGCAAATTCTCGCCCGTCTAAATTACTTACAACCGCATTATTCACTCCCAGCCGATGCAGGTTACCAATAACCGCACGACAGCGCTGCATCTGAAAATAAATGAGTCAGTATAAAAAACATAATTGTGGGAATTAGGAAGTAGGCTAACATCTACCCTCTTTCTTTCTATTTGAAAAAAGATTAATATTTTAAATGAATTTTGTGGAAAAATAAATCATTTCGCTAAGTTTTGCTTACGATCTTAACTCCCCTTATTTCATTGTTAGCACTAAGAGATAACTGAGAATACCGGAAACTCAGAAAACGAGTTTTTCCTTACATTAGCATCATTTGCATAAAGAACTCCAGTATTCTTCATCAGTGCTGCAATATGAGATGATTTACCACCAGGCGCAGAGCATACATCTAATATGGTTTCTTCCGGTTGTGGCGCTAAAGCCATAACTGGAAGAAAGGAACTCAGTCCCTGCAGCATATAATGCCCAGCAAGATATTCCGGAGTTGCACCTAAAAAATTATTATGCAAATAATGAAGATATATTTGGTTAATTTTATTTAAACCAGAAGTCACGAATTTATACAATAAATTCAAGGAAAAACATACCAACAGGAACTTGACTATCGTAAACAATTAAACCGGTTTTAGTCCATTCTGCTGCTGGATCAACATTCATCCCTCTTAAAAAATAACTATTTCTTTTGAATTTAATCAGCAATATTCTGAGTTGAATGAACGACTATTATTTTACTTCACGTCTTTTTCTCTTTTTAATTTCAACTCTAATTGCACTGTTTCATTTATATTTGCTCCATCTTTTAGAGCACAAACACTATGGACACTATCCCATTAATCATAAGAGATTAAAGGTCAAATTTCCCATCTAAGTGATTTGGAACATGGAAATTATTTAGAATAAAATTTGAGAAAGTATGAGTGCCTGTTGATGAGATTTCTTGCTAATTCAGCACGTCGGGTTTTCAATGAATTCGAGCGTATGATTACAGGTCGTGGTTGTTCATTTGCTTCCAGAAATTCTAGCAGCTGCAATAGGAAAAATTTCCAGTAAGAGTATCCTATTTTAATGGAATATATAAAAACGAGGATAGTGGTATAAAATATCCAAAAAACACTGAGAAGCGCAGGAAAAAATTACGATTTTGCAAGATTTAACATAATAAAGTATATCATTTTTCATTAAATCTTTATGGATAATGACAAGACAGGCATAAAGAAGCTTTATAAAGACCAAAAGCTTAAAAATACGGATATGACGAGAAAAACTAAATTTCAAATCCTTGCCTCTGTTCAAAAATACTACGGATATTTTCTCTGTCATATAAAATATGGAATGACTTACTTCTGTTCCATTTGGGAAAATACCCATGAATTTTTGCATTAAATATTCATTATAGCTATAATAACTGCAGAGGTCTTTTGTGAGAACAGAAATATATTCTTTTCGACTTCTAAAAATATTTTCAATAGAAAAGTAGTAGAAATAAAATGCATAAAATGCACTGTTGAAGTACAATGGATTGTAGGAATCTTGTATCTTTCAGAATTTGAAAATTAACGGTAGAACAGTAGCTAATTTCTGGGTGCGGAAGAGTGGAGGGGAAAATTACGTAATTCAATTAATTAAAGCAATATTAACCGCTGAAACATTTTTTTAATGAAAGTACCAGAACATAAAAACTCTACCATTACTAATTTTAGAAATAAATTAAATATACCGGTTTGCGTCACGTCGATTTTTGAAATCACCAAGCACCTGGAAAATGTCTGAGATACGTTGTTTTATGATTTTTAAATTAGGTGCCTGTTTCAGTTCAATCTCAACTTTCTCAATTGATGGCAAGTTGTATCTCTCCTCGCTCTCAATATTCAACAAAAGTTCATCATCGGCGAATTTCCTAAAAATCAAAAATAATGTTTAGTATAATAACTTTAAAACTCATCCCAAAATAAGTTATCCTTTTTAACAAAAATGATACGAAATTGGAAAAACAACTTTCTTTTTTTACCACCTTGACCAATTACTTGTATTTACTAATATACCTAACCCAAAAATTAAAACAAACAGAACTACAGATTTTTAAAACAAACAGAACTACAGAACGTTTTTTAGGAATAAGTAAGCATTAAAGAAGTATTAGGAGTCCCGAACTGCAACTTACTCATCACTTTCTTTCTTCCTTTCCAATCTGCGAGATTTCTTTTCTACTGGCAAGTCGTCCGTATCTGATTCCGATAGATCACTTGAAGAAAAACAATCATTTTTCATGTCATTATCGCTCTGTTCAGCTAAAATTAACTAAAATTTTCATTCAATTCTATAAAAAATTCAAAAGTTTTAAATCGTTGCAAAATCTAGAACTTATTCCCTAGCTCATATGCGTTGTATTCAACTCGAACATTTCATCGCAACAAAAATTTTACCCTAGGTACAGGATCTCTGTACGACATTTGGTTTAACGCTAAAAATTTTCGAAACACCGAGAAAAACTAACAAGCAGTATTTATACCAGAAAAGCTTTCCTCACGTACACCGCCGTCATTCTGAAATTCAAGATGCATGAAATCCAAGGAAGTGTTTCTGCCAATCAATACAAAAAAGGGTGGTAACAGTAATAGTACTTTTAATGTTTGACCCAGATTAAGTGTGGATGAAAATCAGTTACTAAGGTAAGAAATTGAGGAATTTTTTCATGATCATTCAAAACGAAGTATTACGTGGCAAAAATTCACCATAAATAAAGGCATCTTCTCCGAGTTTAGATTTTCTGCACTCTCTTCCTCTTTTTTCTTTTTTCGATTTTTTCTAATCAATAGTTTTTGCTCAGTCGAAGAATCCTGAAATTCAAATGTTGCTATTATTTTTTAGTTTGTTCTTATAATCTGTTATGCGTATAAATTATTGTGAGTATTAGCAAAAGTATATCTTTGAATAAAATTGAAGAGCACGACGAAATTCAAGTTAATAAACATATAGGATAATTAGAAGAGATTGCGGAATAAACTTCTCAAAAACTACAGTTGAAAATACCTACAAGAACAATCCGAACTGAATTTCGAAAAACAAATCAAACATCGTATTATTTCTCACCTTTTCGTTTTTCAATGATTGTTTCCTTTTCCTTTTAACAGTCTTAGGACTTTGAACCTATAATTGTTCATCAATTTAACACATGCAATGTGACTTAACAAATTATCATTATTATTAATTGTCAAACTATCATTATGAAAATAGCAAAATCTACTATATGCACAAGTATTGATAAATATTACTGTTCTTTATCTTAAAATATTTACTCTGTAATTTGGCGAATATTTTCTCATAATATAAGAGTTCCATCAGACGCTACTCAGTTCGTACAATGAAGTCATGATAAACTGATTCATTAAAAAATATATACATAAATCAATCCATTTGTTTTCCAGATGCGATAGAAGCAAAACAAATATTGATCACGTTCAAGATACTTGGACATCGGATACTATTAGCCATAATTTTATAGAGAGGTAGCATAACACTATAAGTTAGCATACTGTCACCTGTTCTAATAATACCATGTAAAACGATATGAAGTAAAACCTCTTCCATAAAAAACTAACAGATAATTTGGATAAATTAAACCGTCTCACCTCCTGAATAGGCTGCTGAGTATTTTTCGTTTCCGCAACAAGCACTTTTTTGTTTGTAATAACATCCTTTTTCAGCTTCTTCTTCTTCCCTATTCGGTTACAGTGCTTAAGTTGCTTCTCACTTAACTTATTATCTTCCAAAATCATCTGAAAAAATTGTGTAATTGAAATGACCCTTCAAACGACAATATTTCCGCACAGGGTAAAAGAAGTTCTCTATTCATTAATATTTTCATAAAATCAGTAACAAAAATGTTTCGGAAAAATTAATTCTTATTTGCAAATGAATAACTTCATGTCTCAAGCAGACTGATTCGCATATAAGAAAATCGTCAGACAAAAATGCTCAATGAATCCTATTTCTAAAAAAAGCTACCTACACATATAATTTTTGCATGATGCACATTAGCTATATTTTTTTATTAGCTATATTTCCGGGATTTATCTGATATATTCTAGTTGTCATTTTGGAATGGTTCTTGTTAATGACAAGATGTGAAAGTAATAATAATCAATATGTATGTAATCTGCAATAAGGATAAGAAAAGGAAAAAAGAGTTATGAATATACATATATAAACAGCTTATTTATTATAAAAGCAAATTGCTTTCTTAGAATAATTTCCTACTTTAAATAAATCATTTTGATAAATTTCTCCATTTTTTCTTTGATCATCTCTGATTTCAATAGGTCAGTTGAAAGAATAATTCAAATACCAATAATAAACTCAATAACTTTTTACATTATTCTGTTCCTAATCTTTCAATCTATTCTCCGCCTTCTATTTCAATAATCAATAATTCGCTCATAGATATACATTTTCTTCTTCATTAATCTATCCTTGATTTACACTATAATATGCCATAAAATATACGTTAACAGATTATCATGCTAATAAGGAAAGTGTTGCCATATCTCCAAGATTTACTTTCTTATAAATACAGAGTGATTATTTTATGTTATAATTAACACATAATTTTATATACTTTAAGATCTGAGAAAGCTTTTTTCTTCAGATGAATGTAATGCTTGAAAATTTTACAAATCCAACAATGAAAAATTCTTGTAACTCAAAGCATTACTATTGCCGACATTCGTATAATTTCGATGTACAGTATCTTTCATTTTTATTTTAATTTCTAAATGTTCAGATACACTATGCTTCACTATCGTACAAAAACAGGATATCAAAACTACCTTATCAAAAGGAATTTTCTTTACTATTTTTTGTTTCTCTTTCTTTGTATACATAACAGAATCAGCCATTTTCTTACTTTCAACAATTTCTTCAATTAATACCATAATCAGTATCGCAGACCTGAAAATACCAAACACTTCATGTGAAAAACAAAAATGTTATTTTCAGTCATATAAAAAAGTCACGCAGATGACACTCCCAATAAAAGTTCCGTAAAGTTATTCAGCATAGAACATTGTATATGTCTCAATAGCATCCTTAACAACATTATCACTTCATTAAACGAACTTTTTTACTAACTATTAACTCGCACTTCCACTTTCCTCTTTAAAGCCTCTGCGAACAAATGCTTGAACATGCAGCATATTTAGTCACTGCGCAACATTCAATTATCTTCAGCGATAATACACCGCAACGAATTTCAAATAAAATTTAATGAAAAAAAAAATTTAAGGAATCATTACGAACGTATACGAATCATTTCAGAAAGGTCCAATACTTTCGCACTGTCATGGAATGAGAATAATTGAGACAGCATTAGTAGCCATAGTGGCAACTAAATGGGAACAACATGTACATTTATTATCATTTATCACAACCAAAAAATGATCACGATTATCAATTGTAATCTCGATGATGAAAACATTAGACAACCATCATTTAATTAGCTTAAATTGTTTCGCAATAAAAGTTAATCGAAATAAAGCGCCAACTATCGTTAACTATTGCTGAAACTACTTCGTAATTGTTCCAAAACAGAAAGTCATCAATTAGCTGCGACACTTACCAGAAGTGAATGACATATAATTTAAAAACTACTATCACAGATTAATAATATAAATAACATCAGACAAAAAGAACTAGCCAACAATTCCAAAATAAACTATCGAAATATCAAAAATCTAAAATAAATAGATTTATTGAAATATCAAGAATTTAAAACAAATCAAACAAATAGGTACAAAAGTTTCCAGTTGTTCATTGATGACAAAACAAATGATTTCTTTCAACATAGTTAATTCCTTATGACAGAGGAAGACCATTGAAAAGCACTTGTTTTTAGATGACAATTCGCAAAGAGTCCAAAGCATGAAGCTGACAATAGAAAATTTTCTTTTCTAAAGATAGGTTTTTCACACCAATTCATTTAAATTCTCCGCTAATTACCTAATGAACAAAAATATAACGATAAATTTCCCATAAATGAATTATCAGTGATGTGAACGGGTGTACTTGCCCCAAATGTGTAGTATGAAAACAGAAGCTATGAAAACGAGACTCATGACGAGCACTGGGACTGGCCCAATTTTCAGGCCCGTTGCATCTTCTGTGTAAAAACGCCATAAACCACCACTACCTACGCCACCACGTGCTGAACGTCCTGAACCTGAAATGCAGCATATTTATTTCAAGAAGTGAAAAAAAATTAGTTGCAAATTAAAAAACGGTAAAAACATATAACGATGTACGAGCCGATGTAGAAGTTTAACCGCTACCTTTCAAATTTTGGGAAACAAAATGGACAACAATCAAAAAATAACCTGCAGAAGGACCGCCACGTCTCTGCCGCACTGCAGTTCCTCCAGAACCAGCTCTTGCTGCACGTCCTGGACTACGACCTGTATCAGACATATTCGAGCTTCCCAAATCGAAACAACTGAAAATTGACTGAAATTTAACTTTGGTAATTAAAGTGGCAGTATTTACATCAAAATACGATTGGTCATTTTAACTATTCGCCAATACGAATCTCTCATATTTACAATGTAAACCTAGGTTTATATATTTTATATATTTATCTGGATATTCTCAAAAAAAAAAAAAACGTTTTCTTAAAAATTCATTACAATCGGAAATAAAATACTATAGAGGGGAATGGAACCCACAACTATTAGACTGTTCCTGTGTTTTACACAAAAATTTAAATGTAGATAATTTAAATAACAATTTGATTTATGTTTTCTATCGACCTTTTTCATACTCTTATTCAAACAGCTCTTTTTCTATTCTAGCCTTGGCTTATTTAAGAATTTGTTTTTAAGTGAAATTAATGGATATTCCAGCAAATGTTATCTTGCAAACCAATCAAACAGTCCTCGCTATTACTATTCGCAGCAATAAATTACCAAATCTGAAAAAAGTCATTACTAAACTTAATGGAACCTCAACACATATCGAATAAACAGCTCTAACCACCTCTTATCTTTTCAGAGACATGCATTCTTCATTTATTCTTTCATCCATAAATGACGAAATTTCTAAATGGTTGAAATAATAATTGCATCGTCATCAAATCATTCTGATATATGAACCCGAACTTTCACCTAAGAAAGAATTAAGTTAGCCTCCACAGAAAATATAATTAACTCAATTCCAATTCATCTTTAGTAACGATAACGATATTTTGCGAATATCAGGGAAAATCATTAATTTTTATATTTTTCATTGAATCCTTCTATAACAACAACGTTATACTTGTAGTATATCACTCATCGGGTATTCGTTCGTTTTTTGTACACACAGCTTTTAGCTTCTCAGGATCGCAAATTAATTCGAGAATCAGTCATGCAAGGATAATTTCCAATAAATACTCAATAGCAGATCCGATGACACATTCTTAATATTTCAAGAATTCACATATACTAACCATTTCGACCTCTTTGATATTGAAAGCAGTTATCTATTCGATGCTTGCTCGATAGATGTATCCTCTCAGGGAACTCTATCATTTTCGTTCTTTCTTTTTCATAATATTTTAAAAGAAAACTTGAACAAGCAGGTGCAATCTGTCTCAAATTAATTTAATCTATCATTACTATCGATTCAATTTATTCTCATTTTCCATCGTTCTTGTAACTAATGACAGCAAAGTTCAGCCTGTATTAAAGCACTTGTGAATTTCATAATTATTAATTTCAGTGGGAACAATCAGTCTAACAGAATAAAAGCCAATTTTAGTAAATCCTTCTTTCCTTCATATTCTCATTTAGACATAGAAGCTAAAAAAAAATTAAACGGATTTTTTTTATAGAGAAACGCATTATGGCAGACAGGACAATAATATTAACTCGTGAGCTGATTAGCTTTTAAATCACACTATTACGATGCTTTAATCAACCTAAACATTACTTGAGAAATTTTTAACGATATCTCCTACCTTTCTTATTTATCAAATAATATATATATATATATATATATTCATAAAGATATCATAAAAGGATTTAGAGCCTCCATTCACTTCTGAAAAAGAACATTCTTTGATTTTCAAGAATTACTCAACGAAACTTAATCTAGCTAGGAAAACAGTTATAGTTATTAACCTTGTATTGGACTAATTTTTTTTTGTCGGATAAATCATTTTAGTCTTTTTTTCAAAATGTCATAGTCATAATTTTTACATCCGTTCCCTTAAATGAATCTGAAAACTTTAACATTTATTCAAGACAACTACACCTTAAACATATTACTTAAGTCTTACTAATGTCCCTACTAACTACTACGTTACACATAGCTCAAACGAGTTCTCGTCCATTAAGTCTTTAAACAGCAACATTTGAAATATTACACGATATGTTCTCTTTAATTTATTTTTTTCCTCAGCTCAAATTACTTATACCAGTTAAGTTCATTTCCATAACGGAATTCTTCTTGATTTTGAAAGTCTTCCTAAAATAAAACAGCTATTTTGTTTACTTTTATTTCTTACAATTGATATTTAAAAGTTAATTATTCTCCAGTAATATCTTCAAGCTTTTTTTTTATTTGGAAATTGCTAATATCTATATATTTCTAATAAATACATAATAATAGAAAATATTCCTATGTTTTGCTAAGGCTATCTTCGTTCTCAATATTTACAATTGTCCATCCAAGTGCATCTATATTTGTTAAAGTCAAAGTAACTGCACACATCAAGGACACAGCTAAACACATTATAAGCATTCGGAAAAATCATAAATCTGTTAACTGTTTCATTTAATCTGATCCGGCATATAACTTCAAGACCATATAAAGTAATTATCAATTTAATCCATAAATTAATATAAATGGGAAATGCAAGTGTCTAAACTAAAATCCAACTTCTTTTCCATGTTGATTCATTAAATTATTTCGTTTTCAAATTTATTCAACTATTGCAGTGACACGATATTATAAAAAGAATGTTTTTCTCTATTTCCCGAATTTTTACTTATACTTCCGTCGAAGTTTATTTGAATTGAGTTTCAGTCATAATTGTTCACGAAAATACAGTTCACAAAAACATAGTGAAAAAATAAAATACTACAGTATTTACTTACAACGATGAAGAGTGTACGGGGCATACTGCTTTGTTTCATATTGATTTCCTGCCTTATTCCGAATACGAAAAGATATGTTCCTTAATGCTTCCTTATTTTAGCAAATTTTTTCTTTACAAGCAAATATCTTACGTATAATTTAAACTAACCATTGAAAAAAATAAACAATCATATGGAAAATAAAAAAAAAATCCATAATCCTATCAAAAAATTTCCGCCAAAAAGCTACACTTCCATTGATTATGGATAAAAATATTCAGTATTCATCCAATGTTGCATAATCTTATATAAATTGCAATTCGAATTGAGTTTTACAGCTACTAAGTTCATTGTCAAATAACTCAGTGATATGTGAAATTACAAGACTAATCACAAACTTGATGAATTTAACGCTATAGGACAAAAAAAAGGGAAAGCCATCAAACACAATCATGCAGTTCATTTCATTCCCTTTCCTCTTATCTCTTTTCTAATTTTTTTCATCAAACTGAAAAAATTATGAAAATTTTGAAATAGAAAGTGAGAAATATGCAGCATAATAAAGATGCAATTTGCAGTTATCGCTTTAATCTGAAGGACCCGAGGAACAATCTGTTAAAGAAGTTACGATCGACAAGAAGTAAAATTACACCACAAACAACGATGAGGAACTCTCTTTATGTGAGTGCTTGATGTTTTCAAGGAAGTTAACTTTTTTAAAAGATGAAAACACTGTTCTCCGTAACATTTCCTCTACATAGCAAAAGTATGACATATGAAATTTGTTGTGAAATTACCACTACAACATCTGTGATCGTTTAAAGTCTACAGTTTGTTATCTTCAAAATCTATAGTTCGTTCTTCTTATCTACTGAAGTGAGCATCTAATAAATTTTTTTTGATCGATTTTTTTCTTGCTTTCCACTGTTTGATTTTTGCACTTTAATGTTCGAGTTCGTTTCCCTATTATCAGAGATATTCAAATTTACAAACAAACTACAAACCTTAAAATTTACTTTCTACTCAAGACATGTTTCAATTTCAATCTAATTTCACAGTATTTTTTTTTCATATACCAACATGTTTTTCTCGATGAGAAAAGAACCAGAAAAGACACTTTTTTATTTAATTCTTTGAAAAAAGATAAATCTTATTTCTATCATCCAGTGTGAATCCTACCGAAGATTTATTAAGAATTTCGATTTTAGCGCAGCAGCTCCCGAAACTGTTTTTTCACTCCAGTCCAATGTTTGTTATCACGTGATCAGGAAACTTACCAAAAATTAATCGAACAACTGAATTTCTGGCAACAATGACTACAACATCCGAAAAACAACGTTAATGATATTTACATACCTAATTTGTTAAATCATAAATTTCAAAAAGCATAGATATGATTGTTGCATCATATTTACTGTACTGAAAACAGTAATATGATTATGATCTACAGCAGAATAACTGTCCAGCCCAATTTGGAAAGTGCTAAATATTGAATATCACATGACGTAGAGAAACAGTAAGAGAGTAAAAAAGTAAGCAACAATTGCAATACTTCAACAACGGTAAAAGTACGAACATGTAGAAGTATTTCAACGAATAATAAAATAGCAAAAAATAAAAAAAAATGTCGCAGTATAAAAATTTGCTTGTATGAATTGCACAAGACATTGAAATGAAAATTCTGGAGTGAGAAGAATTAGTAACTAATCGGAAAAGGATTGAAAAATTCGTGCTTAAAATATTAGAATAAAGAATAAAGAATTTCGAATGAAAGCTATAATTGCTTATGTGTGATTGAAAAAAAAAAACAACTTTACATCTGACATATCTATTCTCACCCCCTGTATTATACTCATTCAACTCACCATCGTCAACAAATAAAATGAAAAATTTTAAATAAAATTAACCTGTGAATGAGTATAAATGTGTGAATTAGTACAAATTTTCATTCAGCTCTAAAATTCCCAACCATAGCGGAAAAATCCCAATGCTTGGTAAGTTTTTCATTTTCCATACCACACATGCTGCATTCCACCAACACTAATTTTTGCAAAATGAAAAATATGGAATAAAATCTATCCATACATGCTTCATCACATTATTTCTCACAATATTTTTCGCAAATTTCACAAATTTATCACAAATTACAACTTTTACAGATAATGTATTAAAACATAACTCCCATATTATAATAACTTTTACGTCTATAAATTTCAACAGAAATACTCATCAGAAGTAAAACATTTTAAAAATTAAAGCCTTGTAGGAATAGATATGATGTGTGGATTAAACTATTTCCCTGCACTCTATCATCCATACCCTGTTCAATCAATTATCACAGTAAGCATAACATACAATATCAAGCTAATACACTAAAACTATTACGAAAGAATAAATTACACTAAGTAGCTGGTAAGGCAAATTAGACTAATGTCAATCGCGTGACACTCACGTATTTTACGATAACATCTAACAATGCAAACGACAACCACACGAACCCAACGACGAAACATTCCGCAAACCAACTGCGAGCATACCAAAAAAGTACCATTCGACAGGTATTTAAAATTGAAAAGATGCCAAAAAAACTGCAACAACCGATTTATAGCAGCTCTAAAGCGAACGTATTTCACGTTTGGTTAAGACGTAAAAATAAACGTTCAGGAGTGGAAGATAACTTATAACAATAAAAGATATGACGGAACGAGAAATATCGAAAATAGAACAGCGGAAGGTATACTTTGGTACAGATAGAGCAATGTTGCAGCATCGATGTGAATGGGATGATTATCATTTGGAATGTCCGGAACGACTTAATGCTGTTCTGGCAAAACTTGAGGTTTTTTTTTTTCTCTTTTATATAAAATGAAGTTTTGATGGCTTTTTATGTTTGATGAAATTCAAAAAATTTCCTATCACTTCAACAAGTTTGCTGGAGTTTTATACATTGCTAACATTTTGCCATATTTTTGATAAGGGAGCTTAAAAAATATGAATGAAGGTTACCTCATATGATATCAAAGAGCAAGAATTCAGAATTCGGGTCTGTTAAATCGATGTGTACATTTGAAGTCCAGAAAAGCCGACTTGGATGAACTTTGCTTGGTACATAGCCGAGTGTATGTTGAAGGAATTGCTAAAACACGGACGATGAATCTTGTAGGGTTCTTTTTTTATTTAAAATAGATGGACACCTTCCAAGAGTTAACTGTTGTTGTTTGTCGGTTCACTGAACCATTTCTGCTGCAAGCTAAGAATAGTTTTTTGAAGAAAGTAATGTCTTAACTAAATTATTTAATCGCTAATTAGGATAATGATAGATTAGATTTTTTGAATCCTAAATAAATTTTCTCGGCGCACTTTATTCGACGGGGATGCTTTGTTGATTTAATGGAATTTATTTTAATTAAGAATTTGCTTTACTGAATTTTAGGAGGAGCTGGAAAGATTTGCTTCAACTTTTGATGATGTATATTTCAATAATTATTCTTATGAAGCAGCCACGATAAGTGTCGGTGTTTCGTTGCAAGCTATGGAGGCAGTTCTTTCAGACGAAAAAAGGTTTGATAATGTGAATTTCACTTTCATATAATGGTAGCTTCTATATTGATTTTAAAAAAATGTGGATTCATAGACCCTTCAAGCATTCTGTGAAGGATTTTTTATTTTGATTGTTGCATTATTTGTTTGTTTCTAATACATAAAGAATTTAACACTGAGAATTAAAAAATATAATACAATGAAATGTGGAGTGAGAATGCTTAAATCGTTATCAAACAACATAAAAAATATACATCGGATGGAATTTATGTAAGTTAGATAAGAAATTCGGGAAGTGTTATTTTTAGCTACTTTTTCGTTCTTTAATCAATTTGCAGTGATTGTTTATTAGTGAATACTTCAGGAAGAGTTCGTCGTTCGCAGCAATTCGGCCACCAGGTCATCATGCATCACACGAAAAAGCATGCGGTTTTTGTATATTCAATAATGTGGCTATCTGTGCAAAGAAGGTGTTCCAAACAGCCACTTTGTTTTACATATAATATTGATGAGAATTTTCGTATAAATTGCTTGCAGTGTTAGTATGATATCTGAAATTTTGGACTCCATTGAAATTGTGAGTCGATGATTAAATGGTTAATAACGGATAATTTCTAAAAAATATAGGATTGCAACATTTTGCTGATTAAATTCGGACCAAGAAATTCTATAATTGAGCATCAACAGTAATCTTGCAATTTTTATAATGAGTAGTCTTAATATTTGTAATATCGAGTTGATCCTTGAATCCAAACTTTACTTTTTGTCTACATTTGATGATTTTTCTTTTTGTTTAACTTAGCAGAGATAAGTTATCAATGTATTTAGGCCCGAAATCTCGGTATAGAAAAGATTTTAATAATTGACTGGGATGTCCATGCTGGTCAAGGAACACAATACGCTATAGCGGATGATCCGAAAATCAAATTGATATCAATACATCGTTATCAACATGGCCTGTTTTGGCCTAACTTGCCTGAAAGTGGCATTTTTCATGGATGCAAGTTTTTTTATTCCTCGTATTTTAGGGAATTCAATGGTCTTTCAATTATATTGTAAAAATATTCGCAATAAAATCTGCGAGATTTGATTATATAACTTAAATAGTTTTGTACTGAACCAAGTTTACTTTATTTTGATTGTTATTTGCAGCTACTAATAATAGATTTATAGATAAAAATACGATCAATGTGCCTTTAAATGCACTTGGAATGGGTGACTCAGAATACATTGCATTTATACAACATTTTGTTATTCCTATAATTCAGGATTTTATGCCGGGTTTAATTTTGGTATCATCGGGATTTGACGCTGCTTTTGGTATGTATTAGAATTTTTGATCGACTTACTGTTACTTTTTATGTAATAATTTAGTAATTTAATCCATATAGCGATAGTATCAACTACAGTTTGATGAGAACTCGATTGTTATTATTATTAGGTGATGAAGAAGGAAATATGAATGTAAGTCCCGCAGGATACTATTGGATGACGAAATTGGTTCTTAATGCTGCTATCGCAGTCGGGGCGCCATTGTGTATGTTGATGGAAGGCGGCTATTTTATCGATAGTCTTGCATATGATGTTCAATTTTGCATAGAAGTAAAAAATTTTTGGATTTTTTTTTCAAATAAAATTTGAAATTACTTTATATTTCTCTCAAATGAGTTATGTTTAATTTTGCGCTATATCAACAAATAATATACTCTAAGAACCTTTCTTCATTTTGAAATATGTACATTAATAAAACTTGCATGTTACCGCGAAAGATGTGAAACGAAAGAATTTCACTGTTAAAATATTTCAATTAACATCAGTGTCTTTTACTCCTTTTTCAGGCTTTGCTTGGTGATCCAGAACCAGATATTCAGTTGGAATTGTGTAACAACGTTTTCCTTCACTCACTACATAGCGCAATTTTATTTTATGCTCACGAGTTTCCAAGTCTTCAGTTGCTTGCTGACGTTACCTGCCATATAAGGATGCGCTGTTTTATTCCAAAAATAACGGTATGTTGTCTTTATTAGTTTATGATTTGATCTGTTTGACAACATTTATTTCCACAGTATATAAGATTCTGATAAAAACTCAGTGAGAGAGTAGAGCTAAAACTTCGGTGCTTCCTGTTCACTTGAAATTATAACCTGAAGCGAAAAAATCAGCTATCAAAATTTAGAAAAACGATCAACGCACCAAATGCTATCTTTCAAAAACTGTTCTGAATTAATGATTTAGAATATTTGTTTCTCTATTTTCGGTTTTACTTGGTTTTCGGATAAAAAATATAGCTAAAAACTATAAACATTTTAATGACTTTATGGATTTTTTATTTCAATTTTTCTAGCTTATCCACACTGAATACAAATATCAGAAGGTATCAAATGATGAAAAAAATGTATATCCTACACGGGGTATATATTCCCGTCCAGCAGAATCAGTGATTCGATGTTTACGCCAAGAACTTGAAGAAATGATCCTATCTAATAGCTGCTGTAAAAAAAATAACGTACTTTTTCAATTTTCATGTGTTCACATTACGTTAATAGTAATTTGTTTTTTTTTTTTGTCAAGAGGATATTTTAACGTAATATTTTTTAGGAGACAATATCTCTCGCTTTTACTGAAAAAATAGATGAAAGCGAGAATACCGAAACGGAACTTCACACAGAAGTGAATGACTTGGAACGTAGAACAGTTGTCGATTTTATGCAACTACATGTTTTAATTTTTCTTTATTTTTTAAATCGTGTTTTTAATATTAGCAGTAGCGATTGGAAGGTTAATGATATCGTGAGACTTTAAAAGAACTCTTAATCGAAAAAATGTGTTTTCAAATTTATTCATTTTTCGGTAGGATTGCATATTGATGGTTTCTATTTTTCAGATTTTAAATACACCATGCACAAATTTCGTATTATCAAAAATGAACCGGATGGATCAGCTGAAGTATGTGCGAGAAGATTTTATCAATAATAAAGAGACGATTATTGCTATTCTTGAAGGCCTTTTCAAAATTTTCAACAATCATCATTGTCTAAACTTTAGGCATTTCTTAACTTTTGAATTGATTTGACCTTTATTTGTTTGTGTGTCATCTTCATTCTCGTTATTCAAGAAGTACTCTGGATCATATAATTGTCAGGCCCGATAACAATGTAATTTAGTTGTCTTTGGTGTGTTAGACTATTCAATGATATCAGAAGTAATGTGTTAAGATATGTATAGTCTTGGCTGTTATCTAAATGTGGAGAATAAAGTTATTTCCTGTTTTTTGTGAATTTAATTTAATTTCAGTTCTATTTTCCGTTTCCGTGATTTTTATGGTTACATTATAAATCTAGTAATAAACATTTGTTACGCATAATTGAAGTCTTATTCGATTTTTCTAGGACATAAATTAAAAGTGACAAAAGATTGTAACAGCAATCATCAGAGTGATATATTACGTAGAACCTAAATTAGAAAGGTATGGAATAACTGAATTCTTTGCTTTGCAAATGAATAAATCGAACTTTGGCAAAGCAATAAATTTTAGATTTTCCAAAGAGAAAAAAAGGACTGTCGCAATAACATCGATTAATAGCAATTTTTTTTAGAAAATGTGATCCTCGGAGATAATTACTAAGTGTGTGAGGTTTCATTTAGATTAAATTTTATTACAAAGTATATTTTTGAACAAAAGACAAAAAAGACTTGGAAGTGGTGATAAGGTCGAAATGTATTTATCATCACGATAAGTCTTATCATCCTGATTATCAACATATATGCGCGTACTATGAAATTGTATAAACCAAATTTGCGAATAACCGTAGTCAAATGTCAAAATGCAAAAATAGAACAGTTTGCCGGAAAATTGCGAAATCAACAACTGTCATGATTCGAGTAAAATTCATAAATTTTGTTGATATTAAATGAACTAAAACTTAAAAGGCAAAATTGAATTCAATTAAAGGAAAAAAGCCGAAATTTAAATTCAACTTTATAAAAATGGATTTTTGACTGGTACTTGTGTGCTTTAATTTACAGCTAAAAATTAACCTGTGTTGCACAAATTAAATATTCGAGAATGTCACAGAACGACAAGTTAAAAAGTTATTTTTAGGCTAATGTTAGGGAAGTACTCAGAAATATCGTAGAACGGAAAGTGAGAAAGTTATTGTCACGTAAATCTCGAATAGATGTTCGAGAAATATGTTTATTAACAAATTTTATTGCCGATATTTAATGCAAAAATAGAAAATTGAACTTTTTTTCTTTTTTTTAGAAGACTTTTTGTTTACTGATAAAGATTGAATGTAATTATTTGGAGATAATTTAGCAATTTGAAACACGTTAATAGTGAAGTAAATAGATTTAAATTTTTTTGGAGATAGGATTAGCTTACTAAGTTAGGATATGTTCAATTCATTGCTTCCAAAAAAAATTCAAAAATTTATTTTACATTTCGAAGTGAAATCAACTCATCGCTTTTTCTGTCCCATCAAATTTGAAGACACAACATCATGACGATCAAATTATTGTTAATTAGACTCAGTTTGTTAAGCAGAATCGTTTACATTAAAATTAATTAAACAATTGAACAACCGCCATTAACGAGAAAAGTTGTTACGATTGTTGCACAGGCAGTATAAAAAACATTTCATTATACAAAATACCAATTAAAGTAATGATTTTGCCCTTAACTAAAGAATAAATATCTGAAGGAAGCCTTATTAAATAAGCAAATTGTTGCTTAATTCGATTAATTAATTACTTTTAAAATTCAATATGGGATGAATTATAGCAACTTTCATTAAATTATAAAACATTCTTGGTAAATATTGGTAAATTTTGGAAAAGTCCAAAAATATTCAATACCGAAACGTTTCAACACATATACGTTTAATACAAACACAGATATATATATTAAATAGTCCGAGATTCGATAAAATTTTTAAATTTTATTATATTTACTATAAAGTTGTTCGCACGTAGCAAAATTTGTTTTTTCTATGGAAAAATTTTGAAAATTTTCTTATCTGATAAAATTGCTTCCATATTTCCAGCCTTTGTTTACAAATGTTTTTCTCATGATTTTGTCATCATTTTATTTATTGGATGAAATTTGAATATCATCTCAGCGACAATATCTCACTGCCAATTACACTAATGGATGATGAAATTTCCAGTCAAGGAAAAGAAAAATAAATATATTGTGAGAAAAACAGAAAAGGTGTTGCATATCATTCTTCATATTCTTAAAAAATATGATAATGAGAAAAAAATTTCAAAAATTTTCAATTAAATAAGCGCAAACTTTAATTTTGCTTTATTAATTTTGGAAATGAAATTATCAGGTAAATTCATCTGTATGAACGTATTCTTTGTAATTTTTCAATGCTTCCATTACTTCATCACAGCTTACTATTTGATGGAGAATCTGAAATTATTTTTTTTTTTTTGTTTTGCAAATATACAAAAAATTATGATAAAAAAAAATTGAAGTTATTGAAAATGAGCAATATGGGAAGAAAAATGAATTACACGAGTTAAGATAAAAATTCAGATGGTTTTTTTCTGTTTCATTTCTGATCAAATGATAAGTTATTGAATGAAGGGCAGATGAACTTGATTAATTAATTAACTAAATCATTAGTTCAAGAGAATATGTGGAAGAAAAAAAAGTAAGTGATAGAAGCTAAATGAATATTTTATTAAATGATATGCTAACAGACATGTTTCAGTAAGCAATATCATAAGTAATATATTTTACTTCTGATATATTTTCATATCAATTTCATTCAACGAATTTATCGATCATTGTAAAATAGATATTTAAGAAAAATATTTTTATAATATTTTTGACTCTCTTGCTTTTGTAATTTGATTATTGTTCCAAATCAGAACTGATATATAACTTCACTGGTTAATATAACTAATCGAGAAATATATTAATTCTAAACTTACTTTATTCTTCTTGAGTTGTTTGTTATTTTCATCTTTTTTCAATTATTATTGTTTTTTTAGCAAATTACAATTCGTTTGTTAAAGTCAAAATGATTTACTAACTAAAACTTGTTCTTTTTCTTCGTCTAACATTTTTCCAGCTGTCATTTGGTATTGTAGCAGAGGATATGAAATATGAAAATGATAACAGATAGCAATAATTAACATCATATCTTCTTGTTAATTTTTTTACTTTTAGAATTTTGAGCTTAAAGTTTGAAAATAAATAAAAGGAATTAAGGTAAATATCTTATTAATTTTGCTTCCATTCTTAATTCTTTCATTTCAAAATTTTCCATTTCTCATTTTAGCACTTTTCTCTCACTGTTGCACAATTATGCAATTCGATCATTTAATATTATTAGAATAAGCTAGAATTGAAAAATTCAATAAACCACTAGCCAATAATATATATCTTCTGAATAAAGCACAAACTGTAAGTTTGATCGTTTGATGAATAGAAAAGTATTATAACTAAAATGTAATTAAAATTTAGGAATGATTTCTTTAATTGATCAATAAAAATTTATTAAATTATTACCATGCATAATACTGTCTGTGATGGTAAATGATCGAACCCGAATGGCGTTGATCCGTTTTGTAATCGTTCTTCCTTTCCTTTCGTATACCAATAAAAATTACGATGAATTAATCGGTTTTCCAATTTTGCTATAAAATAAGAAACATTTTTTTTTTCAGTTTGAAAATATTTCGATCAAAAAGTTAATGCTAAAAATTCTTTTTGTTTTCATAAATAAATGTTAATAACAATGAAGTTAAGAATATCATTATGATATCAAAATGTGGTAGGACAGATTATTTCTTGGAAATTAAAAAAAAAAAAACAAATTTGCTATGATCATTTTTGATTGATGTTTAAGTAATGATTAGATTAAATGATATAATTTTGATTTCTGATTGTTTGCTTTAGCAAGTTTATGAATGACTGTAAAATCAGTATGTGATTATATGCGGTAACTGGAAAATGTATTCTACATTTAAACATTCTTCAAATCGAAAAGTTAAATACAACTATTTTCGCATCAATGAGAATTAACTAATCGTGATAGAAATTTCTCCTTTTCCTTCTCTACAATATTTTTTGTATATCCGATTTCGTAAGCTTCATCCGATAAATTAAATCACTAATAATCATGCAATTATTCAACTAACAATGATAATGATGATTCTTGTCTTCCTCATATAATTGTTTCACGTTTATCATTTACTTTTCAATTCTAAATCACTTATACTTTTCCGGAGTGATATTTCCCAATCCAAAATTGATCTATTCTTAATTTACAAGCATATGTCCAAAAATACATAATCATATCTTTGATATTTACATTCAAATTCTATCTTAAATGCTCAGATGGCTACAAAAATTATTGTTTGTTTGAAAAAAAAAACAAAATTGTGAAAGAGAAAACAAACTTACATTTTATTACCGGCATGAAATTTGCTCCAATAAAAATATTTAGCATCAGGAAAATAACGAATAATGAAATCATTGATGAAAATATCTTCAAAAAAAAAAAGGAGCAAAATTTTGACAAATAATTGGAAATCTATTAATCCTATACGGACACATACATAATAAATGATATTTTTCGAGTTTTTCTAATCGATCTTTCCATCTTTTTGGCTTTTCCAATTTTTCTGTCACTCTAATTTTTTCATTCATTTGTCAATAACAGCTCATTTGCTAACTAAGTTTGTAAAATAAATTTGGAAATGGAAAAAAAAAGTGCTTCAGAAAAGTGCAAAAACATTTGTTAACATTTCGAAAGGAAAATTGATGAGAATGATGCATTTTGGAATGAATTGATGACATTAACATGAATGAAAATGATAACAATTAGAATGTTATGTTTGTATATGAAACAATGATTGGTCATTCGAATGGTCAAATGATCGTTGCTTTATTTATAATAAATGGATGAGTCATAAGTTCAAGGTTTAGAGATTACTTAATGCATAGCTTCAAGCTGAAATGACGAATCAATATGTGTTCAGAGGTGATCAATTGAATCAATCAATAAAATAAACCACGCGGTATATAAATAGGAAACAACACCGCAGTATGGCATTTTGTATCTTTTCAGATTGTTAACATGGATTATGTATGTTTTATCAATTTGAAACAAGATTATCGTTTATTTGATATTAGAAGACAGATGTGAGATTGACCTCTAATATTAAGCTTTGATCTTTAGCAAATTAATCAATGAGATAAATTGTAAATAGATTTGTTGTTTACCAATTTCAATGATATTTTTCTCCGATATAAATGAATCAGCTGGAACAATTGATATTCAGAATTCGATCGCAGATCAACATAAAATTTTTTTTCAAAAGCAAGCAACAATACTTTATAACGGATAGTCATATCAGTCATGATGATAACTGAGAATGATATCTTGCAATAAAAAGAGAAAAAGATAAGAATAAGTAATTGTGAGCGAAAAAAAATTTTCTTTTTCTGAAATAAAAATAAAATTGGATAAAAATTTCAGATGAAAAAAAAGAAACGAAGACTTAAAGTGATGAATAAATGAAAAAGTTGTACTTCAAATAAAAATATATTTTTAGCATATCATATTACGACAGGAGAATTGAAGAATAAAATTCACTCTTCACTTTCCATTACTTTATTGTTGCTGTAAAATAAGCAGAAGGAGCACAATTTTCTTCCGGCTAAAATATAAAAATAAAATCACTTCAACATGTTTATTTGCAACTAATTTTCTTTGAAATGTTAGAAATGCTGTATTTGCTTTCTTATCAACTTCCTTCATTTCGAATTATCATCAAATCAGTGTTATGCTTCCACGAGATGATTAATTTATTTGCTATATCTATTTGATAAAGTTAATATAATCTATTGCAATCTTAGTAATTCTTGTCCATTAATCGATCATTATTACATTTCTTTTTTCTTTTATTGCAGTAATGATAACACTTAATAATAATTATTGTTCGTTATTGTAAATAACAAACAAAATAAAATATTAATTACGGAAAACAACAACAATTAGATAACTAATAATTTGGGAAAATATCAATAAAAGTAACAGTATTAAAAACAGATATGATAACAAAAAAAAATAATAGAGTGGGAATTTCTTTTAAGAGTTTATCGTAATGATAACAGTTTCAAATTAAAGTATGAATATTTAAAGAAAAAAAAACAAAAATAAAAATCCGTTTTTTTCTTCAATGTATTTTTACTGTTCACAGAGAAGCTATTAGCTATGTTTCACTCTACAGATACTGCAAAACTTACTGTCAAGAATTTTGAATTCTCTCAGTGATAAAATGGAAGGGAAAAGAAGAACAACAGATAACAAGGACTATTTTGTTCGCTTAGTGAAGAATGAAATCATATTTCAACATCAAATGATCCAAAGAGTCAAAAAAAGATTTAAAAAAAATAAACGAGAAAAGATTAAGTGCATTGTTCTCGGAAGTTTTAAACTTTTTTCCGTAAAAAAAACTCATCAAAAGTTTCAAAATCAAAGGAAACACTTTTAGCAGCTCAAATATTTGCAGAAGAAATCATGTTGACGTCTTAAACTGTTCTTTTTCCTCTAATGCTGCCATGCTTATTTACTATTTTGAACTATAACTTATTCATTCACACATATTGTTCAACTGGTCCATCTTTGATCTTTATCGATGCAATTTCATTGATGTTAACCATTCTACCGTATCAAACTTTGAAATTTTTCGCATGAAAGAAGTCCCGCAAAATCCAGAATTTTCAAAATCATCGAACTCAGTAACTGAATGCTTGTAGGATAAAATATGTTGTAAAATTCCAATATGACTTGAAATCTAATTTAAATTTTCGAAATAATAACCATCGATAACATGCCTAATCGTAAATAATCCACTTCAAGTAAATACCAATCGATAATTGCGATGCACCGAATGAAAAACTTCCTATCAGACGATATCAGAATAATAAAACATAATCCAGCTGATTACATACAAGCGATCATGAAAAAAATTTATCAATGGTTTGTTCGAAAGAGGTATTTTTCACAGACCACAACAATCTCAACAATATCAAAGTAACTGTCATTCAAATAGCTGAAAATTTCATAAAAATCCCTGAAAATATGCATATTCCAATTCTTCATAAATAAAAAGAGGATAAGAAAAACAGTCGTCAGCTTACAAAAATGTATGACTTTACACTTCATGCGCGTTTCGCTTTTCTTTTTGGTCATTCATTGAGTTTTCACTCCAAAAAATAGGATATATCAAGTCACTATATCATACTCAGGTGTACAATAACGCTAAAATTGAAAAATAGAAATTCCTTCCTACGAAATATTCTTGACAAACAGCATACCAAAAAACGAATATGAAAGAGTTAATACAACAAAATAATGAAAATTAAATATGTCTCTACAATAAGTCACATATTTTAACACGAGATGAGGTATGCATAATAGATAACCACAAAACAAAGTTAATTTCAGAAGTTTCATGAGATCAACTCGACAAGTATACCTTTTGAAAACAAATATATACTAAAGCAACTGCAAAACAATTTTCTATGCATTTGTTTTCAAATGGTGTATGTGTTCAGTGGCGCTATAATCTTGTATAAATTTTATCCCAACTTCAGAAGTCCCAGTAAATTCACTGTCACTTCTGAATTTTAGTAATCTAAAGAAAATTTCATATAAACTTGGAAATGCACTGAATTTAGAACGATTTACCTAATAAAAAACAAATTGTCGATCAATTAGCTGCAACGAATTCATTCACATCAATACAGGGTAAAACATTTTTCAGATGACGTAGTCGTTTGTCAAGTTTATCATCCAAAGATTTTTCAGGATAATCCACAGATAAAGTAGTATACTTACCTCTGACACAATCATTCCGTAATGAATCAATGTATTTCTTCCGTTCAATTTTGTAGCCTCGACAATATTCGAATTCTAGGATAAAAGCAAATAAATTTAAGCTATAGACATTCAAAAATGAGCACTGGTACAAACTAGCAAACACGAATTTGCAAGAACAGAAGTCCTCATAAAATATCCCACCCAAAATCCAAAAAAAAGAAAAAATTTATGAAATATCAAAAAATATAAAATTTATGACACATTCAAAAAAAACTAAAGTTTATAAAACATACGTTCAATGGCACTCTCAACATCCCAGCCATCAACCTCAATCAAGTATCGACAAATCATGTAACCTGTTCGATTTAAACCATGTGTACAATGTACGCCAATTAATTCACCTCAAATTCAATTATTATATTACTTATGTGCTTAAATATCTCTCCATTTTCCAAAATGAAGGGATATTAAAAAGTATAAAATTCTATAAGCTTTATGTCTTTTAACGACTGAAACAATAAAAGAATAAAAAAGTAAAAAGATTTAGAACAGAAAAATTGCAAAATTTGCTCTTTCTTTTACGCATGAATACATAAAGGACATTCTTTCAACGTTTGCATAAATGCGGATAATTCACTCTTGCTGTGCTAACATAGTTGTCACTATTATGTTATCGCTCTAACTTTTCGTATAATGTCAAGAAATAAAAATTACATTATCAGGAAAGAAATATTGAACATTACTTTGTTTATTAAGAAATGAAAAACGAACCAGTATGAATATGTTTGGATAGAAAATCACTGACAATATCATAAAATTTCTGAATGTTTTTCATTTGCGTATTTGCTTGATGTCCTACGCACCATATTTTTTCATATTTAATACCGACATCAGTCCATTCACGAGGATCATAATATTTCTGAGTTGCTGTTAAATCAATTACAAGACCTATCTGTTTACCAGCAGCATTAGCCTGAAAAAAAGCTATTGTTATGCATAATTCACAAACTTGTGACTTCAAAATTAAACATACATTAGTTAATAAAAAAACTTTCTGAAACCTATAGAAGTGTTGATCCTATTCCTCATTACTGTTGATCAATATTTTAGCCATCAATCAAAATAACACGAAAAATATGAGAAACATGAAATGTACTTTAAAAATTTTCAATTCTATAGCTTTTTATGAAATATAATTAATTCAACGCTATTCGCAATGGTTTTGACACGTACATTTAAGCACACATACTAAAAAAATAATTTCAACATTAGAATCTACCATATCAAGTAAGGTTTTCGTTTCAAAAATATTCTGCATGTCGAATTCATAGCTACGATTCAGGAAATAATTGTGCCGCAGAGGCGTCTTGAAGGCAACAAACCGTGTTCCCGGCATATCTTTCCCCACTGGATCATAATCGATCCACCTGAGGTAAGCATTACATCATATTTAATAATTACTACAGCAAACTCTGCACTGCTCGAAAAGCAAATATAAAGTGGAAGAAAAAAAAAACTACTAATTTACGCATCATACAAATTCAGCTAAAAAACATCAGTACCTCTAAAAAACATCAATACCTGAAATTCATTAGATATGATATGAGATAATAAGTATTAGCAAATCTATACCTATTAGGAAATCTGCGTGAATTAACTACGATTTGCTTTAAACATCGTTTCTCGTTATGCCTTAATTTATTCGTACGGGAAGCTCGTTGCATACTGCTTTGCCTTTTCAGCGAGTGACAAAGTACTTTTTAGCACAGATACTGGAAGAAATCGAACATCATCCAAATACAAGCCTTAACTCTTTAAGCATAAATAAGCCTTCTAAAAATGTCAAAAATTGAAACATAATTTGTTAAATCGACCGGGATGAAATAATTTCGTACTGATCGTATCATTTCTAATATATTTCAACACTTTGTAGCATAACATGTCTCCTACCTGCCCAGGGGTTGACGGGTGATTTATCCGACGTGGTGGACAGTGTAGGGTTGATGTATGTCTCAAAAGTTGGGACAAATTGCATGTTAAAAAGTCTGTCAATTATAGAAATTATCACTTTTTGGAGGTTTACCGCTCATGACTTCTTTCAATTTCAAATATTTAATTGCTTAGTTTGGACACTTATGTTATAAGGAGAAATAAAATTTCAATTACCTGAAAAGCAGTCATTTTCATTTAACTTTAAGTAAACTGAACTTTGATATTCTATAAATTATAGCTTCGGAAGTCAAGAATTCGAAAAGTGACAGAAATACAATTTCAAGGGATGAAAAACTCAAAGATAAAATAAAAAGTAAAAAAAAATTATTTAAGATAGTTCTTAGCGGTTAAAAAAGTTTCCAAAAAATTTTGTATAATACAACTGATTATTTTGTGAAGTGCAAGAAAAAAAGTTTTTACCCTTAAAATATGTGAATATATCGGTGGGATGAAACTAGCTTGAGCTGCAGTTAAAAATGAAAATAATTGCTCAAATGAATACCTGCCAGTTTATCAGTTTTACTGACTAATGCATTGTGTGTTATTGTCATGGCGGAAATATTTTAAATTTATTTCAGTGCTTCATATTATGCTAATTTGAGGTGACAATAATTAATCATATCCGTTTCCAGTTCCTTTCTTTAAAGTTGCATATTTTAATTTGTATTTCATTACATTACAAATACGTATATATATGTATATATATATATATATATATATATATA